GAGTTTTGAGCAGTGTAGAGTAGCACTTGTTGTTTGTCATTTCTTCGATCACAAATGCAGACATGGTTTTATGTTTACGCAGCACGATGCAACGTATAAGTCATTATAATCCATAATTATGTCCCCAATGGATGCAAGAAATGCCTTGTTTATAATGGGTTTTAATGTTTTTGTCTCGTCGCTCCCACCGGACAGGGCGTCACAGTATGTTAAGGGGCGTAACATTTCCGTCACACGCTTGAGGTATTCGGCCAATCACGCACTGGATAGCTGGCCAATCAGAGCACACCTCGCTTTTTAGAACGATGAGCTTTGTAAAAATCGACGAGTTTCAGAAAGGCGGGGCATAGAGGAGAAACAATAATGTACAGTATGTGGAAAATAATGTTTTTTGAACCTTAAACCACATAAACATTTCATTACACCAAATAATGTTCTTTTTAGCAGCATCATATGACCCCTTTAATCATCCTCTTTATAACTGATCTGTTCCTGACGGTGCCGTTTCACATTATGCAATCATATCTATCCATTGTACACTCACCTACAGCAGGAACTAGTGTAGAAGACGGATGCCCAGTCATCTCTGGATCAGATTGCAGGAAGTGGCTGCTCGTCAGGATCAACAGAGCTGTCTCACGTTCTGTCTCTCTGCTCTAATACTCTGATTTTCTATTTACAGGGAGTATAAAGATAACGCCACTCTGGCTCAGTTGCTTCAGGACAAACTGGACGCCTACAAGGCAGATGATCCCACAATGGGGGAGGTGAGCGGCACATCTCAGTTACTGCACTGCAGGGAGAGAGTTAATACATGTACATATGAATATGCTAGAACAAGGGGTACATGAGCAGGGGGAACATAAGCAGCTTTCAGCGGGTTCTTGGATTTTTGATTTTGTTAAACCCATAAAACAGAATTATGACTTCAGAATATCAGGGCTGTCAAAGAAATCAAGCATGAAACCAATATTCAATCTTCACTGTCCTGGTTTGTCCTTATTGTGGACAAATCATTGCATTGGATTCATGTTAATCATAAAATGGCTTGTGCTAATCATGGAGCAATAGTAGATTTTTAGATGTTTTATTTTTTATCTCTCTGCAGGGTCCAGACAAGGCTCGCTCTCAGCTCATTATTCTGGACCGAGGTTTCGACCCTGTCTCTCCTGTCTTGCATGAGCTCACCTTCCAGGCTATGGCCTATGACCTGCTGCCCATCGAGAATGATGTCTACAAGTGAGTGAAATAAATCAATATTTAAACTTATTTTTAAAATAATATTTACTGGATTAAATGTTTATATTAATATATGATATTATATAATATAAATATAATATAATATAAAAAAAAAAGAAAATAATAATAATACATATACTGTAATATGTAAAATATTTCATAATACAATATAAAATAATAATTATAATACATATATGTAAAATATTTCAAATGTATATAAATAAATATTATATACAGTCGTGGTCAGAATTATTGCATTTTGATCTTTTATTTAAAAAATTCACAAAAATCTAACCTTTCATTGAACTAAAACAATTGAAAATGGGGGAAAATCTCATTATGAAATGTTTTTTTTCAAATACACGTTGGACACAATTATTGGCACCCCTAGAAATTTTTATGAGTAAAATATCTGTGAAGTATATTCCCATTCATATTTACAATTTTGAGCATACCAGGGTGACTATGAAAATGAAATTATCCAGCCATGGCTTCCTGTTTCACAGGAATATAAATAGGAGGGAAAACAAAGGCCTAATTCCCTTAATCATCCATCACAATGAGAAAAACCAAAGAAGGAGGAGAGTTTGAGTGGCTAAAGACTCTCCAAGGACCACAGCTGGAGAATTGCAGAAAATAGTTGAGTCTAAGGGTCAGAAAACCTTAAAAAAACAAAAAAAACAAACAGCACCTACACCACATGTTGTTTGGGAGGGTTTCAAGAAAAGAAAATGCTCATTCAAAAACAATCCCCAGCATATTCTGTTGTCAGACACGACTGGAACTTCAAATGGGACTGGCTTCTATGGTCAGATGTAACTAAAAAATTAGCTTTTTAGCAACAAACACTCAAGATGGGTTTGGTGCACACAGGGATAAAAAGTACCCCATGTGTACAATGAAATATACTGCTGTATTTTTAATGTTGTGGGCCTATATTTCTGCTGGAGGTCCTGGAGAGTTTGAGTGGCTAAAGACTCTCCAAGGACCACAGCTGGAGAATTGCAGAAAATAGTTGAGTCTCAGGGTCAGAAAACCTTAAACAAAAAAAAAAAATTAAACAGCACCTACACCACATGTTGTTTGGGAGGGTTTCAAGAAAAGAAAATGCTCATTCAAAAACAATCCCCAGCATATTCTGTTGTCAGACACCACTGCAACTTCAAATGGGACTGGCTTCTATGGTCAGTGGAAACTAAAAAATGAGCTTTTTACCAGCAAACACTCAAGATGGGTTTGGTGAACACAGAGATAAAAAGTACCCCATGTGTACAATGAAATATACTGCTGTATTTTTTATGTTGTGGGCCTATATTTCTGCTGGAGGTCCTGGACATCTTGTTTAGATACATGGCATCTTTGATTCTATCAAATACCAACAGATAAAAAAAAACAAAAAATGACTGACTTTAGAAGACTTTAGACTTTTTAGAAGAAATCTTATAATGGGCCATGTTTGGATCTTCCAACC